CCCCCTGGGATTTAAAAAAATTAATATATAATTAATTTATTAATTATTACTATTAGAATTTTAAATATTATATTTTTAATTATTAAAATGCATAAAATAAAAAAAGATCCAATGATAATGGGTTATTTTAAGAGCTCAAATATAATCCATGTCATCCATTAACCATTTTAACAATTTAACTGTTTATTATCATTTAATTAATTTAATAACACATCGCAACTGTAGAAAAAAAGGGGAAAAAAAAAAAACAAATTCTTATGTGTTCTACTCTATCTCTCCCGTGTCCAATCTCAATCTCAGTCTCTCTTAACCTTAAATACCTAACAACTTCAAAAGTAGAAAAAAGGAATAAAGAAACTCCGTCGACGTCATTGCAGCGTTGCTCTCTCGTCATTGAAAGCTCGAAGGCAAGGGGACCACCAAAGGACCACCAACTATAAAGAAGATAAAGATAGTATTATCTCTCTTTTTAAATGAATCATATATTGGGTTTCAACGAATCATATATTGGGTTTCAACATTCAAATTTTATAAGTTTATTTTATTTTATTTTAAAATTTTATCTTATACTTATTAGTAGATATGTTCTAACAATAAAAATTAGTATATTTTCTCTATCCTAGAATAATAGATGTTTTTTTATTTAGAATTTATCCCAAAATAATAGTCGTTTTTTCTTATTTTAAGGAAGACAAATAGTTTTTTTTCCTACTTTAATCCTATGATTATTTTTTAACTTTAATTATTTATCTTCTAATTAAAGTAGATATTTATTTTTAGTTATTTTTTAAGTATAAAATAGGTAGAGATAGAAATTATTTCAAAATCCTTAATATGAAGATAAGACAAAAATCTATTATTTTAGTATAGAGGGAGTAATATTTAAGTAATGAAATTTATTAATTTTTTATTATCACAAAAAATTGTATAATTTCCTTTTACGATTTACAGTTGTTAAGATTACGAACAAAATTAAATATTATAATAATATTGAAGTTATATGGAATAGAATTGGAGTAAAACAAATTGAAAAAGAAAAGTATAGACCCATAAATGGAACATATATGAACCTAGCAAAAGGAAAAACCTTGGATATAAAGAGAAGCAATAGGAAGATAAACTAGTATAAAGTGTAGTTAGCTTGTAAAAAAGGGAAAAAATATTTTATTGTAGAAAGTGGTAAAGTGTAAAGATAAGATGTTGCCATATTTTATATTTGCCAACCTCACCTATGAAGGTGGAGATTCTCTTCCACTAGAGATAA